AGCCTTCAATATTCTTTAGTCTTTTTACATATTATTTTAAATATGACTAAATTTATTAAATAAATTAAGCATTATAACATTTTACCTTGTGTATTATTTTCTTGAAAATCTAAATTAGCTAAACACTTTTTTAAAAGATCTTCCAAAGGACAAGAGGTTTTTCTTGAGTCACCTAATACTTAAGCATTCTCTCTTCCTCTTACTTCTTCATTTCCCAGCCCTCCAGATTTAATATTGTTTGCAGGAGAGTGACATTAGTTTGAATACAAAGATGGGTGAGGAAAAACACTATTGTTTTGCAATATTAGTCTATATGACAAATACTTCTCTAAAAAAGGATATAGTTTAAATTTTGATTAAACAACTATTAAAGAATGATATTTAATTCATTTTTTATAATAAAAGCCTTATTTTAAAACCATGACCTTTGGCAGGTGTGATGGTGCACGCCTGTAATCCCAGCAGCTCAGGAGGCTGAGGAAGGAAAGATTGCAAGTTCAAAGCCAGCCTCAGCAATTTAGAGGCCCTAAGCAACTCAGCGAGACCCTGTCTCCAAATAAAAAAGCAAATGGATTGTGACTCAGTGGTTAACAGTTCGATCCCTGGTACAAAAAAAAATAAAATTAAGACTTTATTTTTCTTAAAGCTTTAGCACTACTTAAAATTCCGTTCTTTTCAGTGTACCATAAAACATTAGGACCACACAAAGGAGTCTTTCAATGGCTTGCTGTTGGATTGAATTCAAATTCCTTAACATGCCTTGCCCATCATCCACTTACTATATGTGCCACAATGATTTTCTTTCAGCTCTTATAATGACCACACAATTTGCAATTTCTGGCCTTTAGGCACTTAGAATCTTCTTCTGGCCCTCTCTGTCCTTCACTTTACCAATTTCTCATCTTATTTGGCCAATTCAAATAGTCACCATTTAAAACCACTTCCTCAAAGAAGCTATCCCTGAAACCTGCAGTAAATGACCTCTAGGTATCATGGCATTTATCACACTATGCGTGTTACTTGTGTGTGTGTGTTGCTAGGGATCAAACAAAGGGCCTAACACATGCTAGGGAAGCACTCTACGTCTGATCTATGGCCTCACTCTTTTTGTTTTGAAACAAGTTCTCACTAAGCTGCCCAAGCTGTCCTCAAACTTGTAATTCTCCTGCCTCAGCCCGAGTCCCTGGGATTACAAGTGTGCACCATTACTGGCACATTTATCACACTTTATTGTTACTGTTTAACATCTGTCTTTCCAAAAAGACTAAATCCCTAGAGCGCATAGTGCCTACACTACACTACCTTTTTGTATTGTAGAAAAAGAAAATTTAAAATTTACATAAATGAAGGAACTAGATATAAACTCAGGAATCTAAACACGTATTTTTACCTCTTTTAAAAAACAAATGTATATGTATAATTTGGATTTACTTTACACTTTAGCACTTAATGATTATTTTTTAAAAATTCTTAACTGTCACCTGAAATACCTACCTTCATTTACTCTACAAACTGAAACTCTCACAGTGCTGTGAGCTGCCACCATGTCATGCAACATAACATATTGCTGAAAAAAGAAAAGAAATTTAAAACAGCCAATATAAATCAACTTCTAAATACACTAGAAAGAATGCTAAAATATAAGGTACATTAATATAAATACGTAGTACTCCACCTTTATAAAAATGTCAAGAATCAGTGATTGAAGGATCATTCACTTTTTTCTCTCAAACAAAAAAAGAAGTACTCTGCAATAGTTCTGAAAATAGTGGTGGGACTGGGGTGGTGGCTCAGTGGTAGAGCACTTACCTTACTTTGCACATATGAGGCACTGAGTTCAATCCTCAGCACCACATAAAAATAAAATAAAGGTATTGTACCCATCTACAACTAAAACTATTAAAAAAAGAAAAAGAAAATAGTGGAACCAGCCTTTCAGTATTCCACTCTGTGACAAGCAACTAGATTTCCCATAGTCAAATGGCAGGTGATCTAATTCTAAAACAAATCTAGCTTCCCTAACCTTAAAAAAAAAAAAAAAAAAAAAAGCACAAGGGCTTATAAATCCATTAAACTAAAATAATGACTATTGAGTATTCATTTTGTTATCAAATACTATTCCATACCTTTATCGAGTTATCACAAAATACAAATATAGTTCTAAAACCATAAATTTTGACTCACCTTTCTAATGGAATATAGGGAGCTGACAATTGATACTATGGACATAATCACAATGGCTAGAGCATAGTAATAGTATTCATCAGTGCTCCACAGTATAACACTGAACAGCTGGAAAATGTAAAATGGATTGAGAACCTAAAAAAAAAATATATTTTTTTTTGAAAGGTAAATTGAATGACATATTTACAACCATGTAGATTCTCGACCTTAACTAGATATAAACTCTGTAGTAGCCTAGGGCAACATGTATTACTCTAAAGAGTAGGGCAGTATATTAGTATGTTCTTTCTTTCTTTCTGAACTGGGAATTAAACCAACCCAGAGACTCTTTTACCAGAGATATGTTTACAGCCCTTTTTGATTTTCAGATAGGATCTTGTTAAGTTGCCCAGGCTGGCTTTGAACTTGCAATTCTCCTGCCTCAGCCTGAGTAGTTGGGATTATAGGTATGCAATACAACCATGCCTGGCTGTATGCTTGTTTACCAAGAAATTACTAGAATTTGGCCTGATTTGAATGATTTGCATAGAAAAAGCTAAAGTATATGAATAGTTGTTCTGCATTCTGCTTCAGTAATAAAATACATTTGTTTTCAATAATTAATATGCTCTGGACTAATAAAAGATAAATAAAGGTATTGTGCCCATCTACAAGTAAAAAATTATTATTAAAAAAAGAAAGAAAATAATGGAAGCAGCCTTTCAGTATTTGTAAAGATACAAAACTTTTATCAAATGGAACAAATCTACTCATGTCAAAAGGTCAAAGTTCAAAGGGAAAACAAATAGGAGATATTGGTTAAACTATTCTTATTTCTTAAAGGAAATTAAGGATTAAATCCTGAATAAAAATAAGGGAGCCCTGACAATAAAATTCATTTAACCAAATTTCATGGTATTTTATCAATTTCATTAATAACCTCTCTGGTGTCTTAACACTGATTCTACACTTTTTAAAGCACTTTCATATATACAGTTCTACTTTACTCAAAACCATGAGATATTTAGAAAGAACTTATTCTAATTTTGTAGATAAAAAAACAGCAGAGAAAATGCTTTCAAAGTAAAAAAGACAGAAAAAAATAGGGAAGGCAAGTCTTCCTCTGCTG